CCTCCCCCCTCCTTCCTGCCCTCTCCCGTTGTCGTCATCGTCGTCCCCGTCCGTGCTGCCTGTCCCCATCGGCGTCGTCGCTCAGCAGTGCCCAACTCCTTCGGCCTTCCAGATTCGTGCTTCGCGCTTCGCGCGTCGCACCAAGGGGAGCTCGAAGACCGCTTATCCCGGGGATGGACAGACCTCCCTTTAGTAAAACGTGGTTTAGTGAAAACGACGTCGGGCCCAAACCTGGCGGGCGCAAGCCTGGAAAATAAAGGCCGCGGCGCACTCTCGAGAACCGAAAACAGACAATTCACTACTCGACGTGTCAGGGTAGGTCTATCCACGTCCGATTATCCTCGCAATCTCACTCCGTCCCCTCTCACAGGGATGCTCTGCTCCAGACAGCACTACTCAGGACGGGCGCGTGTTCCAAAGCGGGGGGGGCGGGGCCACGCAGCACCCCTTCGGTGTGCCTTTCTCGGCCGCCGTCGACCACAACAACGACCCCAACCCTTTTGTCGGCACGTGCTCTCACCGACTGCTGCCACGGACGACCCGCCGCTTTGGGCCCCAAACCGACAAACACTGCCTCAGCAGGGGGAATCGCTCAAACTACGGCGGAGGCATTGAATAAGGAATTTTATTTCCTTATCAAGCAGCATAGAGGACCACTTCGTGAAATATTCACCTGCTCGTGATAAGTACGTGTACTACACTCGTGAGCTGACAGGCCGCAGAGCGTGATCCCACAATGGGTAGTATGCAGTCCCCCCGATGAGAACTGAGAACGGGGCTCCGAGCCTCGAAAGCAAGTCAGCCCCTCGTATAAGGAAACCTCGAAGCAATCAATAAGGAAGCCCTGGATAAAGAATCTGGGGTCTAGCAGCAAGTGGAACTCCGATTGTGTACCGGCAAAGGGGCATCGCCACCGCCCTCATCAGCCAAGGAACCCTCCGGGATCTGGAGCCCCCTGGCACACTCCATAACCACTGCACCCCACGTAAGCTGTGTTTGGACACGCAGCACGTAGCACGGAGCGTGGCCCTGCAAGGCTTGGTGCCAGACCCAAACCTCCGGCGACTGGAGGTCGCCTCGTCGCCACGACCCTTGCCCGGGGGCCGTTCATCATCCCGAGCATATGTGTCCGGCCCCCTGGCCTGGAAGCCGCACCCGGAGGCCGAAATCAGTGGAAGACGCCCGGCGCGAACCTGATGTGTCTGACTAGTCAGAACCCCTGCTCTGGTGCTGCGTTTCGCCACGAATCCCACAAAGCCTCTGGGCGTAGGTGGTCTAGCGCGTGTCCTATTCCACCCCTCCCGCTTCTGTTTCGGGAAGGGATTTACCCCTTCCCCTTACCCCCTCCCCTGGACCTGGACTGAGGATGCCGCGGGTCGTTGGAGCGTCCAACAAGGTCCAAGACGGCTTCAAACACGCCTCAGAGAGCCCAAGATGACCTCCAAGATGGCTCAAGATAGCCCAAGATGGCTCCAAATGGCTCCCATGATGCTTCAAGAGGCCCCAAGACCGCTCCAAGACGGCTCCAAGTGGCCACGGAGCCTCCCACGGAGGCCCCCAACAAGCCCAAATCCTCCAAACACCTAAGGGGGATGAATGCATTGTGCCGTCTCGCCTTTTTGCTTTTGGCCTTCCGAGGCCTCAAGATGGTTCCAAGAGGGTCCAAGAGGGCCCCAAGAGAGCCCCATGACGACCCCAAGAGCGCCCCAAGAGCGCTCCAAGAGGGGTCCAAGAGGTGACTTTCGGGGTTTCCGAGGGGGGACGCTAATTGAGTACCCCTCCTTTTTGACTGATATCCTCCAAGATGGCCCCAGGAGCGCTCCCAAGGCTCCCAAGAGCGCTCCAAGAGGGCCCTAAGAGGCGCCCAAGAGACCCCAAGAAGCGACCAAGAGGCCTCGAAGAGGCTCCCAAAAGAACCCAAGAGGCCCCAAGAGTCTTTCCAAAACCGAGCGAGAATCCATGATTGCTGCATTCTCGCCTATTTGTTTTCGAAGGCCTTCCAAGGCTAAAGATGGCTTTAAGATGACCTGAGGGCCCCAAGAGAGGCCCAAGAGAGCCCCCATAGCGCCCAGAAGTGTCCCAAGAGCGCTCCAAGAGGGACCCTTCCCCTGCGTGCTGCCCACTTCGCAACTCCACCGGGCATCGACTCTGGATGGGCTGGCGGGGTTACGCGAGGCGTCAAACATTTCGGAGAGACTCCAGCCGCAGCGACGACAAGCTACTCTGAGGCCCTGGAAGGGCAAACCACGGCCATCAACCTTCGATCCTCGACCTCCTTCGGTCACCTGACAACGTCGCGCGGCGCGCCTCGCGCCGTCTCTCCGTCGCGCCGCAGCCGTGAAGAAGGGTAGCCCTCTGAAACACACCGAGACGCGCGAGCCGAGCTTATCTTCGCACCCCCGAGGGGTGGGCAGACATTAGCTCTGGCATCGACGATGCGTAGATCAGCACGGAGGCTCCGGCCTGAGGACATCCCGCCTTCCTGCGAAGGTGGGGACCTCCAGGCCCCGATTGGCTGGAGGGAGCGATGGGGAGCCGATGCGTCCCACGAGGCCTCCGACATGGTGTCCGAAGTTATGATGTTGGAAGTTCGCACCTCCTCCTCCTCCTCCTCCTCCTCCTCCTCCTCCTCCTTCTCCTAATCCTCCTCCCCTCCCTCCTCCTCCTCCTCGTCCTCCTCCTCCTCCTCGATCGCGCCGCCTCGCCGATGCATCGGCGATGCAGCGGAGATGCATCGGCGATGCAGCGGCGGCGTGGGGAGTGGCGAGCGTCGAGGTGGGAGGTGGAGGTGGAGGTGGAGGTGGAGTGGAGGGGAGGAGGAGGAGGAGGAGGAGGAGGAGGAGGACGAGGAGTTGGAGGAGGAATAGGAAGATGAGGATAAGGCGGAGGAGGATAAGGCGGAGGAGGAGGAGGATGATGAGAAGATGGAAGCGGAGGAGGAGGGGTGTAGGAGGACCCCACCCGGGAAACCCAGATGAAGGTGGGGGCACACCGGCGAGGCGTGGGTGATCGGGGGGCCCACGACCCCCCTCTGGAGCTGCTGCCCCTGCCGTTGCCCCTGCCCCCCGAACAGTGCCCCTGACCCAGCCGTTGCCCCTGACCCTGACCTTAGGTCGGGCATGTCCCCCTGCGGTAGGTTCGTGCGGCGTCGGCGCGCACGAAAAATTCTGACACCGCTTGGATCGTTCAGCCTTGCATCGATCGCGGCCCCGATCGTTGAAGGGTGAACTCCGTCGGGTCCTGTGGCGTTACCGTGTCCCTCCCCTCGCTGCATCCGCGTCGCTCTGTCGTGCGGAGTTCAACTTTGAACGCCTTCGCCTGCGTCGCTGGCGCGCCGTCGCCGCATGAACCTACCGTACAGGTGAACGTAGTCAAAACATGCCCAAACATAATCCAAACATAACAGAAAAATCAGCCCCAGACTATTTTTGGAAAATCCATCCTGTAGAGGGGCGTGCCCGACTTAACCCTGATCATTGAATGCTGGAATCTTTCAGTCGCGACCGAGGAGAACGGTCGCTATACCGGTTCTGCTTCCAAGTTCGGTATCGGTCGCGACCGATCTGCTTCGAAATCGGTCGCCACCAGTCGGCCGCGATCGGTGGCGACCGATCGCAACCGATTTGGGGAATCGCGCCGCGATCGGTGGCGACCGATCTGGAGTGCCGATCGGTCGCTATCGCTCGCGACCGCACAAAAATCGCTCGAGGACAGGGAGGAGGATGCCCTCCTCTTCCTCGCATTCCTTTCCTCACTCGTCCTCGTCCTCCTCGTCCCTCCTTGCCTCCATCCTCGCCTCCCTCCTCGCTCATCGGGGGGCATCCAGGAGGGGGGGGCGCAACTCGTGGCCGGCGGCACGTGCGAGGCCCAGTGGGGGGGGTGGGCGGGGACGCAGAGAAAGGAGAGGGAGGCGCCACGAGATCTGAGGAGATCTCATGGCCCCCGCCATGATGTCCCACCACCCCCGCAAGTAATTATCCTCCTCCTCCTCCGCCTCCTCCGCCTCCTCCTCCTCCTCCTCCTCCTCCCCCTCCTCCTCCTCCTCCTCCGCGTCCTCCGCTTCCTCCTCCTCCTCCTCCTCCTCCTCCTCCTCCTGGCGAACCGTACCAGGACTCAGCGAAACCTTATAAGGGCTTGCGCCTTACTTATAGCTACATGTGCTGTGCTTCTACATCCTTAAGGCATGCTTCTATCGAGGGCAAGAAATCCACCCCCCATGACACCACCCCGACAAGCGAAACCGTTTAGAAAACGCACTCAATGAAGGAATCGAATATGGCAAAACTGTTCGATAAACGTCCAGGGCTGTTTAGTAAACGCCGATCATCGGATCTGGGTGGTGTTTCTTCCCTTGACCATAGCAACTAATTTGATCGAGCTACTCAGGTCACCGTAATGATAAGATCTGGGATTAAGAAACACAGCCCCGGATTTAGACAGTCCGTGTTTGAATTGAATAATCCGGCGTTTGCGTCTACTGCATGATGTCTTGCCCTGTTTTGGTTCGGCGGCGCAGAGTAACAAATCCGCTCATCGTTCTCGTAGATCATCGCTGTCTCAAGACATTGTTCTAAGAACGTGCGTTCTTCCATTGCCATGACCAATGCTAGCCAGTCACAAGTAGCAAGCGAACTCGGCCCCAAAATCAGATGCCAGCAAGTGGTGACCGCCCCCGTCCTGGCCGCCTCCGACGCATGTCGGCCGCCCCGCTCGGCGGGGGGCCAGGGCCTCGCGACCCCCCCCCGTCGTCGAACGCGCGGGGCGGGCGGCGGGGCTGATGGGCATGTTTCCACCACCACCGCCAAAAGTTAAAGGGGGGAGGAGGAGGAGGAGGGCGAGGAGGAGAAGGAGGAGGAGGAGGAGGGCGAGAAGGAGGAGGAGGAGGAGCAGGACCCCCTCCTCCTCCTCCTCCTCCTCCTCCTTCTCCTTCCTCCGCCGCCCTCCGCCCCTCCTGCTCCTCCTCCTCTCCTCCCTCCTCCTCCTCCTCCTCCTCCTCCCCCTCCAACTAATGGCCCATCAGGGGAGGCGCGCCGCGGGGGGGGGGGGGGGGGGCGTCCAGCTCCGGCGGCCAGCTCTCGCCGTCGAAGCTGGCGCAGTCGACGGCCGAGAAGCCTGGCGGGGAGCCCAAGGTCAGGTCGGGCATGCCCTCCTACAGGCGGACGGAGGGTGGAGAGAGGAAGAGAGATCCAACAAATCACAGATACTAGACAAGTCATCCCGAGACGACTCTTTGACCATTTTGCTAGGTTCCTCCTGTAGAGGGACAGGCCCGACTTAAGGCTAAGGTTAAGTCGGGCGTGTCCCCCCACAGGCGGATTTTGGACGAAAATGAGCAATGCCCCCCCCCAAAATACATCCAAAATGCTCAAACATGATCAAACAATCGTCCCCGGACTATTTTTTGACCACTTCGGAATATTCCTCCTGCAGAGGGACGAGCCCGGCTAAAAAAATAGTAGAACAATCATCCCGAGACGATGTTTGACGATGTTAATATGTTCCTCCTGTAGAGGGACAGGCCCGACTCAAGGCTGAGGTTAACGCTCTGCGCGCAGCGCGCCCTGCGAGGCTATCTCTCCGCGAGTCGCGACCTCGCGCCACCGCCCCGAGAGAGAAGGGCGGCTTCGCTCTGGCCCGGGCCGGGACGCGCGCGGCGCGCCTCACCTTCGCGCCCCGGAGAGGGGGGGAACCTGGAGTCGGCGGTGGACACACTAGGGGGCCACATGCGAAGCCTACCCCTCCCCCCCACGATTTTGGAGGGGGAGGGTGGGGTTCACTTCGCTTGGGAGCTCTCGAGCGAAGTGAACCCCACCCTCCCCCTCCAAAATCGTGGGGGGTAGGGGTAGGGTTCGCATGTGGCCCCCTATACACCTCCCTTTCATAAACCACCCTTTAGCGAAAACGGCCTCGGACCGAAACCGACGGACCTGGGCCCGCAAAGATGACGGCCGCGACGCCCTCTCGCGGACCGAACCAGGCCAATGCACTGATCGACGCGTCGGGGTGGGAGGCCCGTCAACCTCCGATAGAAGTGAGCCCGGCGATGGCAGTGCCGTGGCCCGTCGCTCTGGCAGGCTTCGGAGAGGCGACCTCGCAGGCTGCGCGGCTCCGCGGCGGCTTGCCAGCAGCTTCGTGCTTGGAGCGGCGTGCGCCGCGGCACGAATCTCAAGCACTTTAGTAGTGGGAACAATTAGTTTTCAAAATATTTGGTCTTTAGAAGCTCTGCGTGGCGACGCCCCCGTCGTCACGCGTGCCCTCTGCGTGCCTGCGGGGGCGCCGCCACGTAGAAGTACTGGAGACCGAGCATTTGGGGCGTCGCTACGCACGCCCTCTGCGTGGCTGCGACGATTTGTTAAAGCCCTAAAACCAATTAAATTCACAAATAAAGTAGCTGCCTCCGCTCGTGAGGCGCGCGCGGCCTCCGCGCGCGATATCCAAACCTCACCTGACCCGTCGCCCCGGGGGTGGGCTGCCTCCATCCGGGGGAGGCGCCGCGGGAGCCCGGTGTTGTTCCACCGAGCACAGTCCGAATGGCGGCTGGTGCCCCGGTCGAGACCTCTCCAGTTAGGGAGCCCACAAAGGACGTACGCGAGACCGGCCGCGTTATACGAACATTTGCGCAATGCGTATTCTCGAAACCAGCGTGGATTCATGTACGTGTACGTCCTTCTGTCGCTCCTGACCAGTCTCCGGCTCGGAGGGGCACCGCGGACCTCTGCGCCTGGGCGTGGCCCCGCGGGTGCCTTTCGGCGCCGCCTCCCCGGCCCGTCCTCCGAGGGCACGCGCGGGGAGGCTGCCCCGGAGCAGGATCTGTCCAGCATGGGCAGCGGCTGCTCTGGCGCGCCACGGGGGCGTCTCCCTGAGCGGAGGAGGAGGAGGAGGAGGAGGAGGAGGAGGAGGAGGAGGAGGAGGAGGAGGAGGAGGGGGTGCGAGCGGCCTGGAATGACGGCGGTCGCCGTCTCGTCTATGACGCTCTCCGGGGTGCTGGAGAGCCGCCTCCACAGGTCCTCGCGGCGCGCCGCGGGGGAGGCTCATAGGTCTGCGTCACGAAAGAATCGCCACGACGGCTGGTGTCGCATGCTTCGGGCCTCTGGGGGGCCGTCTCTCGGGTCGGGCGAAAGGGGGGATAGCAAAAGGGGGGTTTGAGAATCAGCTCACGTAGCTGATTTTCCCGGCCCCTCTCGGCGCCAGAGGCGACTATGTGTCAAAGAATGGGCCCCTCGGTGGGGCCGAAACCAGCTGCATGCAGCAAATTTCGTAATCCCCCCTTTCCCAATCCCCCCCTTTCGTCCGGCCCGAGTCTCGGGCCCCGCGACCATCTATCTTCAACTATGAAGGACGAGCGCGTGACCCTGGGGATCGGGGGTGGTGTCGCTGGCTCTGGGGACCAACGTCGTGAAAAAACTGAAGGGGCCCAGGGACACACAACTAAACACACACAAATCCCAAGATTCGCCATATGTTTGCATATGTTATGAAGTTTCGTCTTCCCACACACTTCCCATGTTTTCCTGGCGAACGACGATTCATAATGTCTGAGTGCTTTCTGCCCTGCTGAAGCAAACACGACGTCAGACGTCTGGAAGGGGGGCGGGATCAGAAGATGCGGACGACGAAGAGGAGTGCGGCGGAGGAGGCAGTGTGGCAGGCAGGATTTGAGAGGAGGATGATGCAGCCGCCGCGCGCCGTCATGAGGACGCAAGGCAGAGCATGACCTTCCCCAGTGGGCCCAGCGTGCAAGAGCAGCCAGCCTCGCGGGTGTCTCAGGGGCTCGCACATGGATTGGTACAGTAGGAGCCCGGGCCACGAGAAACCTTCCACAAGAAACCCAACCCTGAGACCCCAGGATGTGCACTGCTTCTTGGCGCGGGAGCGCCGCGCTTTCCGTCGCAAGACCGTCGAAACCCAGGAAACCCAGGGCACCCTGCAGGCGAGCAGGGTTTCTTGGCATTGATGTCTCCACTGTGCCCGCCCGCCTGAGGATGCACGTGGAAACACGAAGTAGGCAGACGGAGGAACCAGACTGCGTCCGGGCCCGCCAACCGAACAACAGAAAACAGCAAGCACAGGTCGATTCTTGAAGTCGGAGGGCGCGTGCAAGGACGTGCCCCCTCTCAACGACCGGCGAAGACCCCTAGAATCAGGTCAGGCATGTCCCCCTACAGGGGGATTTTGGACGAACAATATAAACTAGTGAAACAATAGTTTAACAAATGCCAGCACAAAAATTCAAATTCAAATAACAGTCCCCAGACTATGTTTCACTATCTTTGAATATATTTCCTGTAGCGGGGGGCACGCCCGACGTAACCCTAGAAAACTTACACAGAGAGCCCGCAAAGCCGGAGCCCCGGCTGGCCTCCCGCGGGGGAACAAGAGCAACACACAGCCCTGCGGAAAGCTCAGCCACGTGCCAGCTGTGAGCATCGCAGCTTTCGGGGAGTCTGCTGGCCCGGGTCCGTCCAGATTTGCAGCGCGCACAAGGGGGTGAGGGGAGGGCTTCTCAGAAGGAGTGTGCTTCTTAGAAGGCGCCGGCCTTACACTTATAGAGAAGGCCCTCGCCTTCTAAGAAGCAGGGGTGCTTTTAAGAAGCCCTCCCCCCTCCCCTCACCCCCCTCTGCGCGTGGCCGACCAGACCTGGGTCAGCCAGGCTTTGCAGGATCATGCAAGGTCCTGCACCCCAGCCCGGGCCAATGCGAAGGGTCCTGCGAAATCCTGCAGGAGGATCAGCTGCGCCCAAGCCCAGGTCAGTGCGGCCCTGGCCCTGCGCAGGATCCTGCAAGATCGGGCGCCCCGGCTGACCCCCGTTCGCGATGACCCCCGTCTCAAGGCTCCCGCCCGTGAGCCACGACACGCTGAACTGGGGGGGACACATGCGAACTTTGCCACTGGGTCGGTGGAGCTCCCCAGGGGGCCACGAGGCGCTGTGCATGGTGGGGGAGACGCATGCCGACGGTGCCACTGGAGCCTTCGATGGAGCTCCTTCTGGCGACGAAACGCTGCACTGGGTGGGGGGAAGCGCATGCGGGCGGTAGCACTGAGGCCTTCGGTGGAGCTCCCTATGAGGCCCCGAAACGCTGTAGTTACTGGGTGTCCTGTGAGCCACGAAACGCTGCGCTGGGTGGGGGAGACGCATGCGGACGGTGCCGCTGGGGCCGGTGGGGGGATCGCAGGCGGACGGTTCCACTGGGGCCGTCGGTGAAGCTCTTTATGGGGCTACGAAGCGCTGTGCTTGGTGGGGGGAGACGCATGCCGACGGTGCCACTGGAGCCCTCGGTGGGGCTCATTATGGGCCACGAAACGCTGCTCTTGGTGGGGGGGAGCGCATGTGTGCGGTAGCACTGGGGCCTTCCGCGGAGCTCCCTATGGGGCCACGAAGCGCTGTAGTAGTTTTCTGGGTGCCCTGTGGGCCACGAAACGCTGCGCTGGGTGGGGGCGACGTGTGGACGGTGCCACTGGGGCAGGTGTGGGGATCGCATGCGGACGGTGCCACTGGGCCGTCGGTGAAGCTTCCCATGGGGCTACGAAGCGCTGTGCTGGGTGGGGGGAGACGCATGCCGACGGTGCCACTGGAGCCCTCGGTGGGGCTCATTATGGGCCACGAAACGCTGCTCTGGGTGGGGGGGAGCGCATGTGTGCGGTAGCACTGGGGCCTTCGGCGGAGCTCCCTATGGGGCCACGAAGCGCTGTAGTAGTTACTGGATTCCCTGTGGGCCACGAAACGCTGCGCTAGGTGGGGACGACGTGTGGACGGTGCCACTGGGGCCGGTGTGGGGATCGCATGCGGACGGTGCCACTGGGCCGTCGGTGAAGCTCCCGATGGGGCTACGAAGCGCTGTGCTGGGTGGGGGGAGACGCATGCCAACGGTGCCACTGGAGTCTTCGGTGGAGCTCCTTATGGGCCTCGAAACGCTGCTCTTGGTGGGAGGGAGCGCATGCGGGCGGTATCACTGGAGCCTTCGGTGGAGCTCCCCATGGGGCTACGAAACGCTGTACTGGC